TCTATCTATCTATCTATCTATCTATCTATCTATCTATCTATCTATCTATCTATCTATCTATCTATCTATTTATCTAATCTATTGAGGCAGGGTCTCACTATGTAGACCAGGCAGGCCTGGAACTCACAGCGAGCTGCTTGTCTTCAGAGTGTTGGAGTTAAAGGCAGATGGCCTCATACTGGATGACTTTGTCATCCCTAGTTTATTGTGACTAGACTTTAAATGCTTGTGAGAGAAACTCTATACTCAACCTTTCCATTCTTGTACACTATCAAGCTATAATGCAGAACCATAAGGGGTTGGTGACAGACTATGACTACCCATGCATCCAGAATGGTGACATTCAGTTAAAGCCAGAGTGCTCTGTTCTTAATGTTCCATTGCTACCTTTATCCCAAAATTTACTGAGATAACTTTCTGCTAGTGACAAATATTAGAAATATAAAATAGGAAGAGGGATTTGGAACAGGGTCATATTTGCTAGGGGTCCAGGAGGAAATTAATTTATCTGTCTCTAGAATATTATATTGTAGTTTCTTAATAAATACTGAAGCTAGACCTAGTGATGGTGTCTTCTACTACCAGAAACTCGTAAGACTCAGTTAAGAGAACTGTAAATTTCAAGACCTGCCAGGGCTATCAAGTGAATTCAGCCTAGACAGCTTAGTGAGACCCTGTCTCAAAGTAAAATCAAAAGAGGGAGAGATGTATCTCAGTGGCAGAGGGCAACTTCCAACTCCAGTCCTCAGATCCATTTGGCAACTGTATTCCAAGTGATCATTCAACAATGCAGTCAGTTGTTAAAGACCCTTCTGTTGCCCTTAGAGGAAGTCAGCTATCTCTGATGTGAGTCAGCGGACCTGGAGTGACTTGATATTTGCTCAGGGAGGTGTCAAAGTGGATCAGTTGGCTGCACCACAGTTCTTTCAGCTCTGTGCAAGGATTTCTCAGGCCCCTTACCCCAGCTTCTGTAGCTCAATTGACTCTAGTTCCATTCTGTGTATGTACTTCCTGCCTGCATGGCAGTTTCTGGACCACATCCTCAGCTTCCGTCTGACCTTTACCCCTCACTTAGACCACTGTTTTGTCTTCCCTGAACCACTGTTTGTGTCAACTGAAGGAACACGCTCTCTTCTGGTTTCTCTGTTAGATCTAGCTCCAGAGGCTAGAGTTGCTTGCTCCATGAACGTTCAGCTGCAGGAAGTGCTGACATTTTTAAAGAATGATGAAGGAAAGACTGGTTTCCAGTTCAAGGATCTACTTGATGTCTCCTAAATTGTAATTCTTTCACTTTTATTGAGATGAAGATGGAAGGATATGTTTCTTAAAGCTGAATTGTTAAAATAGCAGCCAAGGGTAACATGACTACTGAAGTCTGAGTGATTTTTTTAGCTCATCAAGCTCACGCAGATGGAAACCATTTTTCCTCCAAGTACCAAGCTATGATTCAGCGTGCTCTATTTAAGACTAGTTAAAATATTTGCCCAGTTTATCACTGCTGTTGTTGTTGTTATTGTGTTTCTGTTGGAATACTGAGACTGGTGACACAGATCCCGTGAGTAAGCTTAGCTTCCCTGCACACCACGAAGAAACCATTTCCCCAAGGTTAGTCATGAGATGACAGTGTGCATTCATAATTCAACCTCAGCCTCTTAATTACATGCCTTCTACTTGATTGAGTAGTTCTATGACTCAATATTCAAGCACCTTTTAACAATTAATGCTGCTGTCTTTGTGTTTTATTTGGTGGTGAATATTTCCTGTTTATTTCTAGTAGACTGAATCTGACATTTCATACTTGCCAAACCAAGTCAACTTCTAAAATTCCATTAAGAGCTGAGCAATTATGGTGAATAAAGAGCCAGGAATGAATGGAAAGTACCATATCTTCATGCAAGAAGTGTCCTGAAAGATTTTTAAGATGGTATCTGTAACAGGTTGTTAGCTTGTAGTCTTCAAATGCGGTCATCTGTCAAAATAGTGTTAGTTTTAGAGATACTAGATAGCTTATAAAAATACACATTTGAATGTATTTGGCATTTTACATAGTTACTCATGATATTACATTACATCATATAGCAACACAGTGGATCTTTTCATAAGACAAACATCTATTTACTATATACTTCAAAGAATGAATTGTAACAAAATTGTACAGAAGTAACCACAATGAATTAAAACTTATGTCTAGAAAATACGACTTTAAAAGCAGAGGAGATGGTAGAAAAGTGCTTAATTCATATTCTACAAGTTTGTGGGATATCTTTTAGTTAGTTCCTTCTATTACTGTCACTAGATTTGGGAAAGGGAAAATACTTTTTTTTTAATTGTTTTTATCGAGCTATATATTTTTCTCTGCTCCCCTCCCTTCCTCTCCCCTCCTCTTCTACCCTCTTCAATGATTTTCATGCTCTCAATTTACTTAGGAGATCTTGTCTTTTTCTGTTTCCCCTGTAGATTAGATCCATATATGTCTCTCTTAGGGTCCTCTTTGTTGTCTAGGTTCTCTGGGGTTGTGAACTGTAGGCTGTTTTTTCTTTGCTTTATGTCTAAAAGCCACTTATGAGTGAGTACATATTTGTCTTCCAGGGTCTGGGTTACCTCACTCAATATGGCATTTACTAGATCCTTCCATTTGCCCACAGATTTCAAGATGTAATTTATTTTTTTCCACTGTGTAGTACCCCATTGTGTAAATGTACCAAATTTTCTTTATCCATTCTTCGGTTGAGGGGCATTTAGGTTGTTTCCAGGTTCTGACTGTTACAAGTAATGCTGCTCTGAACATTGTTGAGCACATGTCTGTAGCGCCTGCACTATGGGATGGTTTGCAAGCCAGGCAAGGGGCTGGAGATTGAAATACACACACACACACACACACACACACACACACACACACACACACACACAGAGGCAGAGAGAGAGAGAGAGAGAGAGAGATAGAGAGAGAGAGAGAAACACGGTTCATCCTTGAAATAAGAATGCCAACGTTATTTGTGTTCCAGGACAGTTTATATAGTTCCTTCCCTGACCAATGGCTACATCCTAACCACCCGAAACCACTCCCCTGCCATCAGGGTCTTCTGCTCAGTGTAGCTGCAAGCACAGGAAAACAAGTTGTTTGTTCAGAGCAGCTGCAAGCATAACAAGTTGTTTACTCCGGCAGGCAAGGGGGTCACAGAAAATTCAGGGTCTGGGAGTCCATATTCCCCAACACATATCCTTATGGTATGATTTAGCATCCTTTGGTTATATATCCAAAAGTAGTATTACTGGGTCTTGAGGAAGGTTGTTTCCTAATTTTCTGAGAAATCGCCACACTGACATCCAAAGGGGCTGTACCAGCTTACAATCCCACCAGCAATGCAGGAGTGTTCTCTTTACCCCACATCCTCTCCAGCATAAGTTGTCATCAGTGTTTTTGATTTTGGCCATTCTTACAGGTGTAAGATGGAATCTCAGAGTTGTTTTGATTTGCATTTCTCTAATGGCTAAGGATTTGAATATTTACTTACGTGCCTTTCAGCCATTTTAGATTTCTCTGTTGAGAGTTCTCTGTTTGAGTCTGTACCCATTTTTTTTATTGGACTATTTGTTCTTTTAATGTCAAGTTTCTTGAGTTTTTTGTATATTTTGGAGGGAAAATACTTTTAATACTTTGAATAAGAGAAATAACATTATTGGACAATCACCCATCAGTTTATGTACTTGGGGAGTAAATCAAATTCACATGTGAATCTGGAAGACCTAAATGTGGTTATTTATCCTCAGATACTGGCGTTCTAGTTTATTTTCTTTTGCAGAATTATATACAGCAAAGCTTAATGTATGGAGTTCACAGGGACATGGATCAAATAACAATGTATTGAATATAACTTGTCTTTTTTTGTTTTGTTTTTTAAGCTCAAGGACAGTTTTATTAGACTTTAAAAGAAAAACTCCCCGAATAGACAAGCTGCCAATCCAAGCAGCTGCCCAGAGGAGGAAGATGGCGAACAGAAAGAGGGAAAGCCATGGCATTTGATTTAGGGGCATGAAAATCAGCCACAGGACAGAAAAGCAGCCACATTGTGGAGAGGAGATCTTTGAGAAAGTAAGAAAGCCCATACCCAGGCTCTAGCCAGCATCTAAAAACAAGAGACAGGAAAGACGAAAAGGGTCCCCTTTGAGGCAGAGATCAGAAAGGCAGGGAGACCCAGTAGAATCCTTTGGTGCCTTGCAGGGACTCCACTTAATCTTCTTAAAGAATCTGCTTCTTCGTTTATGAAATGGGGTTATGATACCTTGGAGAATTGTTGTGACGTAGTTCTTAATAAATGGAAATAACTTTGTAACTCTTAGAAATATAACATCCCAGGGAGATCAAGTGAATTGTTCAGAAGCACGGATAGCTCCTTGGTACTTGGGAGTGTTAGAATTGTGCTCTGATGCTCCTTACACTATTTTTATTATGGAGAGACTATATATGGTATATATAGTATGTGGTGCAGTAGTAGAGCCCAGATTTGCCTGTCTAAGATCAGAGATTCCAATCCTCATCACTTAAAAATAATTACTAAAACCAGACTGTTAGGTAAGCGGTATTACTATGTCAGTTCTAGGAATCAGAAAATAACTAAAGGATACGTTTCCTATCTTTTCTAAGGATATAGTGAACATAAATTAAGAACAGGATTAGAAATGATCTCTTTCAGCAACCTAGACTATGATCTTTTGGCATTTCATTTTTAAAAATTATATATATATATAAAATTTGAAAATTCAGAAAGTTAAAAAATTTTTCTTCAGAAAGTTAAAAAATTTTTCTCTGATGTACATGTGTGAGAGTACAGTGCATATATCCATGGCATGCATGCAGATTTCAGAGGACAACACCAAGTGTTGGCCCTCACCTTCTGCCCTGTTTGAGACATGTTCTCTATTTGTCTCTCTGTGTACCAGGCTAGCTGGCAGACAGTCTTCTGGGATTCTTTTGTCTCTGCTTCCCACCTTGCCACAGGAACACCAGGATTACAGGTATATATTACTGGGTCCCATTCTCTTCATGGCTTCACTTCTGTGGCAGGTGTTTATCCCTGGGTCATTCTCTTCATTCTTAGAAAGTTGTTTTTTTTTTTTTTTTGGTTTTTGTTTGTTTATTATTTTTTAAATTTCTTTATGTGGAAAATAATTAGCATTGTGAAACAACATGACTGTTAGTGACTGATGTTGACTATGAGGGGAAAATATGATATGATACAAAACAAGACAAAACAAAAGAATATAAAGCTGGAGACAGTCTTACCTTTTCTATGTAAGAATAGAAGAAGAGAGTGTGAGAAAAGAGGAGCGGAATTCAGCATGAGATTGATTAGACAGCAGACAGGTCGCACAGCACATTGCTTCGGGGCTGATTTCCTGGAGGGCCTGTGCTTTCTGACATGTTGTTCTCCTTCACTATTCATTCTTGTATTCTATCCTGTCCGAGGCCCGTTATGTCAATTTAAAGGGAGAATTGTGGCTATTAAGGAAATTAAGGATGGAAAAGAACATAACCTAAAGTTTTGAAATAGCCATCATTCTCCTAATTGATCCTCTTGATCATTTGTTCACTGAACTTAAGTTTCTCACCTGAATGTGATCTCCAGTTTTGCCCTCTTCAGGCTGAGTGTACATCAGTTAGTTGTGTTTCTTCTCTGTGGATCTTTAGATTGAGTTAGTGATCATGGCATGGAGCCTGAGGAAAGGGTCAAAGCAGTATGTTTTATAAATTCCAAAGTGCTTTGAACAAACAGAATGTGATGAAAGTATTTTAAAATATTCTTTAAAACTGGTTTATTTATCTTTCAAAAGTCCTTAAAAGAGTTAAGTTTTTTTATTGATTTTTATTGTGCTCTACATTTTTCTCTGCTCCCCTCCCTGCCTCTCCCCTCCCCTTCAACCCTCCCCCAAGGTCCCCATGCTCCCAATTTACTCAGGAGATCTTGAAAAGAGTTAAGTTTTAAGTGTGTGTGTGTGTGTGTGTGTGTGTGTGTGTGTGTGTAGGGATGCCCATATAGTCTAGTAAGCAGCTAGAGTTACATACAGTTGTGAGCTAACATACAGGTACTGATAATGAATGTGGGTCTTCTGTAAGAGCAGCAAGTGCTCTTAACTGATGAGGCATCTTTCCAGCCCACAGAAATCTTATGTAGCAGTGGGGAAAAGAGCTATTTCAGGCTAGATGTATTAAAAGGATGTTGATCAACTATTCCCGAACTTAAAAAAAAAAAGACTGAGCAAGATGAAGTAGATTTCAAAAGGGATTTGATTAGGTGTAAATAAGATGTACTAGTGTGCTTTATTTGTGGTTGTAGTAGCAGGTCTTAAAGGGATATTCTTATGGGAATATGGCAGTGGAGGTTTGGCTCATGAAGTTCCAGAAGGGAATAAGCACTCTATTGGGAACTACACCAGAGACCGTTTGTGTTATGTTCTGACAAATGAGCTGACTATATTCTGTTTTTGCTATGAAAAATCTGTGTGAGATTGAGTTAAAAACTAACGAACACATTTGCTTTTATGAGGACCTTTGGAGATAACCTAATGTCCATGTTGCAACATTATTACTGTTCGCCATACTTAGTTCTACTGCAAAAGACAGCAGGTGAACAGCAGGTGAACATTGTGCAGCTTGTTTGATGAAAGGAGCTTGAATGAGTGTAAAGTTCCTAAGAAGGCTATTGCAGAGAAGGCAGCTATAATTGTTAAAGACTCATGTCAATGACCAGTGTCTTAGTTAGGGCTTCTGTTGCTGTGAAGAGATACCATGACCACAGCAACTCTTATAAAGGAAAACATTTAATTGAGGTGGCTTATAGTTCAGAGCTTTAGTCTATTATCATACTGGTGGGACATGGCTGTGTGCAAGCAGACATGGTGCTAGAGAAGAAGCTGAGAGTTCTACATCTTGATCCATAGGAAACAGGAAGTTAACTGAGACAATGGGCATAGACAGAGCATAGGAAACTTCAAAACTTACTCTCAGAGTGACACACTTCCTCCAACAAGGTCATACCTGCCTCCTAATAACTTCATGCCCTAACTTATGGGGACCAGTTACATTCAAATCACCACATTCTACTCCCTGGCCCCCATAAGCTTTTAACAATATCATAATGCAGAATGCATTTAGTCTAACGTCAAAAGTTCTCATAGTCCATCACAGTCTCAACAGTATTTAAAAGTTCAGAGTTCAAAGTCTCTTCTGATACTTCATGTAATCTCTTAAATGTAATCCTCTATAAAATCAAAATTGAAACACAGATCACATACTTCCTACATATAATGGTACAGGACATATACCACCATTTCAGAACATAGGGAAGGGAGCATAGTGAGGAAGTACTATACTAAAGCAAGAGAGAAAACCAGCTGTGCAAGCTCCAAACCCTGAATCTCCGTGTCTGATGTCAAAATGTTCTTCATTTCTCCAACTCCTTTCAGCTATGTTGATTGTAACGTACTTGTTTCTCTTCGCCTGGTTCTACTCCCTGTTAGCAGCTCTCCCCAACAGGTATCCCACAACTCTGGCATGTCCATCATCTTGGGGACTCCAAGGCAATCCAGACTTCAACTTCACAGCTTCATATAATGGCCTCTCTGGACCTCCATTCAGGGGCACCCATAACACATGCCTGACCTAAATTGTGGAGGGAGTTTCCATAACTTTTTTCTTCTATCTTTGACTCTAAAACCAGAACCACATGGCCAAAGTTGCCAAATTCTACTACTTGCTTGTGGCTGGAACATAGCCCCCTTGTTCAATTACATCGTCACCAACCTTCTGTTTTTGATAGTTTCCTCCACTGACTAAGCTTGACTGTCTTGGAACTTGCTCTGTAGAGCAGGCTGGTCTCAAACTCAAGAGATCCGCCTTCTTCTGCCTCTTGAGTGCTGGAATTAAAGGCGTGCCCACCACATCCGGCTCTAAACCTTTTTTTAGTCCTTTTCACAAGTTGGAAATTTATTTGGGTAGGATCTTGCTCTGCGTTCACTCTCTTGATTACATTTCTTACTCTGCTTATCTTCTTAAACACAGGACTTAACTTCATTCCATTTCCCGGTGTTCCTTTTCTTCTCAAATTACATACTTAGTAGTTTTATTTGCTCAGCTTCCTCCTTTTCATTAGAGTGAACACTAGTATAACCACATAACATACTAGGGTGTTCTAAGGCTTCCTCTACTAATGGAATTAATCCAGAATTCTTCACATTAGCCTCAGCCAATTTTTCAGACAAGGGCAAAAAGCAGCCCTCCTACCCTCTCCAATGATGCTCATGCTCCCAATTTCCTCAGGAGATCTTGTCTTTCTCTGCTTCCCATGTAGATTACATCCATGTATGTCTATCTTAGGGTCCTCTTTGTTGTCTAGGTTCTCTGGGGCTGTGAATTGTAGACTGATTTTTCTTTGTTTTATGTCTACAAACCACTTATGAGTGAGTACATATTATATTTGTCTCTCTGGGTCTGGGTTATACCGATTATTTTTTAGTTAATCTTGTATCCTGCCACTTTGCTGAAAGCGTTGGTCAACTGTAGGAGTTCCCTGGTAGAATTTTTAGAATTATTTATGTACACTGTCATATAATCTGCAAATAGCCATGTTTTGACTTCTTTTTTTTCAATTTATTTCCCCTTGATCTCCTTTAGTTGTCTTATTGCTCTAGCTAGAACTTCAAGTATATTGAATAGATATGGAGAGTGTGTACAGCCTTGTCTTGTTCCTGATTTTAATGGAATTGCTTTGAGTTTCTTCCCATTTAATTTGATGTTGGCTACCAGATTGCTTTAAATTGCCTTTATTATGTTTAAGTTATATATTTTTTATCCCTAATCTGTCCAAGACATTTATTAGGAAGGGGCATTGGATTTTGTCAAAGGTTTTTTTTTCAGCATTTAGTGAGACAATCATTTTTTTTTTCAGTTTGTTTTTGTGATGGTGGATTACATTGTCTGATCTTTTTTTATGTTTTTTTTTCTTTTAGTAATTTTATTAAATTATAAAAAGTTTCCATTTACGCCCCTCCTCCCAACGCCCTCCCACTCCCCCCCTCCCTCTCCTCCTCCCTCTTTGTCCCCAAGGGAAGTCAGGGTCTCCTGCCCTGTGGGAAGTCCAAGTTCCTCCCCTCTCACTCCAGGTCCAGGAAGGTGAGCATCCAAACAGACTGGATCCCAAAAATCCAGTATATGCATGTTGAACCATTCTTGCATCTCTGGAATGAAGCCTGCTTGATCATGGTGGATGATCTTTTTGATGTGTTCTTGAATTTGGTTTGAGAATATTTGATTGAGTATTTTTGCATCTATGTTCACGAGGGAAACTGGTCCGTAATTTTCTTTCTTTATTGAATATTTGTTTCTTTGGGTGTCAGGGTGATTGTGGTCTTTAAAATGAATTTGTCCATGTTCCTTCTGTTTCTTCTGTTTCTATTTTGTAGAATGATTTAAAGGCATATTGTTATTAGTTCTTTGAATGTCTTGCTGAATACTGCGCTGAAACCATTTGGCTTGGAGCTTTTTCTTTTTCTGTTTGGGAGACTTTTAATGATCTCTATTTTCTTAGGGGTTATAGGTCTATTTAAATTGTTTGTCTGATTTTGATTTAACTTTGATAAGTGGTATCCAGCAAGAAAATTATTCATTTCTTTTAGATTTTCCAATTTTGTGGAATACAGGTTTTTAAAGTATGACATAATGATTCTTTGGATTTCCTCAGTGTCTGTTGTTATATCCCCATTTTTGTTTCTGATTTTGTTAATTTGGATGTGCTCTTTTAGTGTTTTAGGTAGTTTGAATAAGGGTTTGTCTATCTTGTTGATTTTCTCAAATAACCATCCCTTTGATTCATTGATTCTTTGTATTGTTCTCTTTGTTTCCATTTTATTGATTTCAGCTTTCAGTTTGATTATTTCCTCCTGTCTACTCCTTTTGGGTGAGCTTGATTCCCGTTGTTCTAGAGCATTCCAATGTCCTGTTAAGTTGCCAGTATGAGATTTCTCCAAATTCTTCATGAAGGCACTTAGTGTCATGAATTTTCCTGTTAGCACTGCTTTCATTGTGTCCCATGAATTTGGTTATGTGTGTATTCATTTTCATTGAATTTTCAGAAGTCTTTAATTTTTCTTTATTTCTTCATTGATTCAGTAGTAATTTATAGAGAGTTGTTCAGGTTCCATGAGTTTATAGGCTTTGTGTTGTTTCTGCTATTGTTGACATCCAACTTTAATCCATGGTGGTCTGATAGGATTCAGTTACCCATTCACTTAATTAAACTTAAGGAAAATAGGTGCAGCGTTCTGTTAGGGTCTTTTAGAGGAGCACAATACTGAGTATATGACTATAAAAAGGGCTTCTACACATGTAGACTGGGAGTCCCATAATAGCTGTGAGCAGCTGGAAGATGTAGTTGCTCTGTTGAAAAAGTTGGATGCCTCAGAAAAATATAAGGGAACAGTGAGGGGCAAGGTCTAGCCGAAGGCCTAGGATGAAGACCTGGAAGCTTCCTGTAAGTCTCTGATGTGAGTCTGCAAAAGCTGGACCTAGAGTTTTGTGCCTGTAACCGGTGGCATAATGACAGAATGCCCAGTCTTAAGTGTAAAGCCCAGGCTCTCAGTGTCCCCTGTTACTTCCATTTCTAGTTCTACCCAGAACCCCAAATATTGGACATTGTAGCCTACATTCTGGTCAAGTCTTCCCTGCCCAGCTCACTGAGTCTCAGGAAACATGCTCACAGATACTGTGAAATGTGCTTTGCTGATTTTCTGTGTATCACTCATCCGCCAAGTTGTAGCCAAGATAAGCATCAGAAGAGTTCTAGTTCTGAGTGTTTAAAGATGTTACTTCACTATGGGAAAGTAGGTGATAATAAGAGCTACTACTCTATTGAGAGGTTAGTGTGTGAGTTAGGGGGCTTTAAGTGGAGAAAAGACAGAAGTCATCCTTGTTTCCTTTGTATGGAGTTTTGAAAACGTTACTACAAATGTGTATACTTGGCTTTGTGGCAGTGGCCTTCCGGAAAGAACACTGCACTCATTTATAATGGGAACACAGCATTGCGGATGAGACAGAGAGCTACTGGGAAGTGAACCCAGATGAGACTCTGCATAATGCTGTGCTTGGGGCTGCTATCAACAGAGAATTGTAAAGGCTTCCATGAGTGCCATCCTTCAAACTGAAGGCCTGGAGTGGAATACTTCAGAGCCTGCTGCTGAGTGCAAGGCCTCATTCTTATTCCGTAGGAAGTTTGCTGATGAGGAGGTCTATTGGGAATTCACACAAGGATTCTCTTTAAGGATTTCTCTCTGCTTCTCAGACAGATGCTATCTCAAGTTCACAACAGTGTTTATCATTATTGTTAAGTCATTTTGAGCCGTACATTTAATTTTGGCTTAGATGGCATTCATGTTTCTTTAGCAATGAATTGCACTGTGAATTGATTTCAATTAAAAAAAAATCTCAAAATAATCTAACGTATACTTTTCTCACATTTTCATGGAACAATGTAGTCTTTCTTCTCCCCTATGTTTTGATTTTGTTGTCCCCTTAATTCCTCAATATTCTGCCCATTAGATGAATTTGTTATCTTGTATCAAGTTAATACTTGCCAGTGGTAATGACTGTATCAGTGCTTATAAGATAATGCTGACTTTTTTTCTTTCTTATAGTTCTTCCCTTTCCCCAATAAGAATTTATTCTGAGCTGTTTTGTGCATCCACTGTAGTGACGCCTCAGCCAAGGCCCTGTGGGAAGCCTTACTGAACACCAAGCATAAAGAGGCAGTGATGGAAGTTCGGAGACATCTAGTGGAAGCGGCCAGCAGAGAAAACCTGCCCATCAAGATGAGTATGGGTAAGCCTCTCTGTCCACTAGTGGGGGAGCCATGGCAGTCTGAGCAAACTTCTCTAACCTTCTCCTGAACTGTGGCCACCCTAGCCAAAATGGAATTTAGATAAAAGTATTGACTATTTGTGAACTATTGACAAGGAGAAGGAATATATGTAAACTGTCCCTGGGGCTCAGCAGTAACTGCTTTTCTAAGTTTCCACTTGAAAAGTCCAGGAGAGTCTTTGAATATGTGGAATAATTTTTTTTGTTGTTGTTGTTTTGAGACAGGGTTTCTCTATGTAGCTTTGGAGCCTGTCCCGGAACTCTCTCTGAAGACCAGGCTGGTCTAGAACTCACAGAGACCTGTCTGCCTCTGCCTTCCGAGTGCTGGGATTAAATGCGTGCGCCACTACCACCTGGCTGGAATAATTTACTTTCCTAATTTATGATTGCTCAGAACCACTGTCAGCAAATTCTATTTTATATCTACTTTCTCTCCCCCCTTATGATAGATGAATGTGCTTTCATCAATTTTGAATCAATGTTTGAACTATTATAAAAATTGAATGAGTAGATAGGCTGTCTCGTCCCTCGTTTTCAATTATCATTCTGCTGATTGCCCATGCACATGATGGTTGGCTGAGCCTTGTTCACCAAGAGAATACATTGCTTGTTTTTTTCTCCTTTGTCCCCATTCAACTTTGATGTTTGTCTTATAACAATATGGCTGCCATGGAATTTATATCTTAAATGACTTTTTTATTTTGATCAAAAAGAGAATAACACAGCAATACTTTGGTTGCCTTTTCTTTCCAGTTTTAGTATGTGTTTTTGTTGTTGTTGTTGTTGTTCATGGGTGCTGAGATCTGAACTCAGGTCCTCATACTTACACAGCTTACCCACTGAGCCATCTCTCAAGCTTTACCCCACTTTTACATTTTTTGTTTTTTAAGTATGACAATGATTTAAAATATAGAAATATTTTAATATGGATATTAGATCTGGCTAATAGGTAGAATTTACTTCTAGAAACATGAAAATGTATTCCTTTTTTAGTGATAAAGTTTCCTTCTCTGTTGTGGTGTGCTCTCTGCTAGCTTGTAAGTATTAGTGTGTCCTTCTGGATGGGAGTGAGGGCTGGTCTGCATGTCTGCTTGTGGGGATGCAGACTCAACTGGAAACAGCCTCTGGTGGTTTAAGTTAATTGATGTGGGAGGATCCATTCTAATGTGGGAGGCCATCCTTAGTTTGAGGGGCCTAGATTGGACAGAGAAGAAAGAAAGGAGAAAGCAGTCTGAGGCTCAACCTTCCTTGCTGTCTGCTTCCTGGCTGCAGATTCCCTGTGACCCTGACCAGTCACCACATTGGACTGCATCCTGAAGCCATCAGCCAAAATGACCCCTTCCTTGTTTCTGTCAGGCATTCAGTAGTGAATAAGAAACTAACGTATGCTGGGTGGTGGTGGTGCACACCTTTAATCCCAGCACTCGGGAGGCAGAGGCAGACAGGTCTTTGTGAGTTCAAGGCCAGCCTGGACTACAAGAGCTAGTTCCAGGACAGGCTCCAAAGCTACAGAGAAACCCTGTCTCCAAAAACAAAACAAAACAAAACAACAACAACAAAGCCAAACTAATATAATGCCTAAATTCTTGATTAATTATGAGTATAAGCATCAAATATCAGGATGAAATAAATTTTGAAAGTAGAAGAATGTAAATGAAGCTAGGAGGAAAAAATTAGAGACCATGACATGAAAATACTACAATGAATGACTTTAGTGTTTGACTGTAGATGGCAGCTTCCAGGATGTAAAGACGGCATGGAATGGAGAGAAGCTGCTGCTTACTGAGCTCCCAAAAGATGGCCGCTCTTCTCGTTCCAGTGCCATCCGGTGAAGCATTACAGCACTTACAGAAGTTAGCCGCCTGCCTTTCTGTGTATCCCTTGTTTTTCACACAAGGACCAATGTTCACCTTCAGTTGCCCGTCTCTGAGGAGTGGGGCAGGAATTCAGATGCAGACATCTCCTGTCAGAGAAGATACGCTCTATCCTCAGCTGCGCTAACTCCTTGTAGACAGTGCACAGCCTGTTTTGAGTAGAAGTTGTTCCTTTAAAACCATTCTGGTGTTTGACTATTAATTTAGTTCCTGCAGTTCTCCCTTCTATCTTCCCTTTTAGTCTCTCTCTCTTACATATGTCCTGTGGGGTGTGTGTATATGTAGTGTATGCGTGTTTGACAGTATATGAGCACTTACTTATATTTATCAGTATGCGGCATATGAAGACTAGAGGTTGACGTCATTGGGTATCTTGCTCCATAACTTCTCATATTATTTACAAAGTCAGGTCATACAGGCATCTCTTATCTCTACTTCTTGAGCATAGCAATTACTTGTCAGGCTTTTATGTGGGTTTTAGGGATCCAATCTTAACTCTGTATGACTCCAATTCATCTAGTGGATACTCCATCCCTGCTCCCCAGTTGCCTGCCTTGGAAAGAATCCTCCTTTCTTAGCCTCCCCAGTGTTGGGGTACACCACCACGCTGGGCTCCTTGCCTTGCTTTCCTTTCCACAGTTCCGTATGTGATACTACCGAGTGTGCTTTGTTTGGAGTCCTTACTCATAAGTACAGTGACACAAGAACTAATTCATCCTGTGAACTAAGAAGAGCCAGAGTGCACAGACGATCTGGATGATGACTTATATTGTGTTTTTTGTGATAAACCTTATGATGATATCGTAGAGCATAAATCAACTTTTATAGCTCAACACTGGGCTCTTTAAAAATCAATAAACTTTACTATTCTAAAGAGCTCTATCTGTGAAAAATAGCCAAAGCCAGAAATTAAAAAAAAACAAACCAATGAGTAACTCCATGAAGAACTCAAATTTAAATGTTTGATTGTTTTCCCCTATCAACTCCCCTAAAAAAGATAAAGTGGTTTTCTTTATCCCAGAACTCCAGACAGGGGAGGTGGGGTGAGGGAGGGAAGAGACAGTCGATTGTGAGCAGGGCCAGCTCATGCTTTATCCCCGTGCCAACTTCAGTTAGTGAAAGATAACACAGCGTGGCTACCCTCCTCTGCTGTGTGTCACTAGCCAGAGTTTCTCATGGGTCTCATTCCCATATACAGATCCATAACCATGAGAAGTAAGAAAGACAAGAGGGCGCTTTAAATACACTGAGACATCAGTATTTGAAAGCTGCCTATCAGTCTGCTTGTCACGGAGCGGTCACATGTCTGTTGTCTGGGGTCTCAAGTGGCTGGGATGCTGAAAGCAGCAGTCAGGACTTCAGAATGTTCTCTGAACTCCTCAGGACTCGCTGGCCCTCTGCTGTAAATTTACTAAAGTATGAATTTTCTGCCTGTAATCGAGGCTTCTAGTGTTTTTGAGACATTAAACAGATTTGATTCTAGACCAAGGATTCGCTTGTGTTTAAATTTATGAGAGGGTTTTTCCTGCTGGAAACCTCAGATCTTCAGTATAAAATCCCTCAGCATTATGAGCACCAATAGAAATAAACTTCGTTCTCTTAAATGATAAAAATAATTGCTTCAACAAAGAAGAAACTTCATTTTATCATAGTATATCTAAACATCTGTCATCTTACTGAGAGTTTGTTATGAAATTGTCAGTTAAGTAGATATGTTCCAGAAAAGTGATTTTTAAAACCCTGGAAAGGGAATTGTTTTTTCCCACTGACTTTCATAAAAGGAAAAATGTATTCTGAAAGTAAAAAAAACAAATAGACCCCAAGAAATACATTTGTTTCCACCCTAGAAGGCCAAGCAGAGGAGACAGGAATAGAAATTCCTAGCTCAGGTTTTGCTCCTTTTCCAGCACTCCTCTCTGGAGTTCCATCGCGTCGAGAGGTCTTCAGGGCTTGGCATTTTGCTCTCTGCAGAAGGACATACTTTGGTGTTGGCCTTGCGGCAGGGACACCCGTTAGAGCTGAGGTGAAACTTTTGTCCTAGATGCCTTGAAAGACTGTTCTATGCTTGAGAACTCTGTTTATTATTTCAGTGCTTTTTTTAAAAAAAATAAAAAAACCATTTAGTTGGGTGCTTGCTTTTAGTTTCAGAGAGTGAGTCTCTGATCATCACAGCCCAGGAGCATGGCAGCAGACGGAGGCGTATTTTAGTGCTGAGGAAGGTGTTCTCAGCCATCCTTCTCTGCAGCATCCTTGTCTGCTTTACGAGACATCGTGTGCCTGTAACCTTCGTTTCTTCAGACTGTGAAGGATACACAGTCACTTATGTTTGAGGGTGGGCCACACTTGTGTTGCTTCTTAGTCCAATTTCAGTTTACCATAAAACTGGGGGAAATGTCTGCTCCCTGGAGATTGAGAATGGAAGCTCTACGCAACATGAGAGGACCCTGCTGCCTGGCATTGGCCCTGAATTCACTCTGTTTTGACTGGGTACAAGCCGTGCTTCTGTTGCATTTGGGTTTTTTCTTTATTATGAAGAATTTTGTGACGAAGAGAGAGAGGAGAGAGAGAGAGTATTTTTGTGTGTGTATGTGTGTGTGTGTATGAAAGAGAAAAGAAGAATAGGAGAATGGGAGAGCACAGCTCAAAGGGAGGAAGAGGGGGATTGGAAAAGTTTGCAAAAGGAGAAATTATACACTAATTAATATCAATACATCATGCAATAAGTAATTTACAAAATATGAGAAAATCTAGGCATGTCCTGGGCTCCATATACTGACTAAGTCTCACATTGTTTTATCTTTTACTTGTTATTAATTTTTGGAAAGGGCAAGAAAAGTAACCTTTGCTGTCTAGTTATTGAATTTTTGGATAGTTCGGTTATTCAATGCTCTAATAATCATGTGAGTTTCTCATCCATTTTCACACTCATTTTACAGACCCAGTAAACTGAGCCCTAGGAAGGTTGAGTTTCATTTGCAGGACTCCTGTGCGGTTGTGTTGTCTCTCAGATTAGGGCTCCACTTCTGTTTCATGCTGTGGGTGCTGGGACTCTGTAGAGCGCATTTCTCTTCCCTCTGGCTCCCTGAC